AAGCGCATTTTGGTCTCTCTGATTCAATCAAGTGCTTCACGTCACGGGTACGAAGACTGGCGCACTCCTGACGATCTCAAAATGACGTAATCGATCAGCTGGAAAACGAAGAACACTTCGATGGGTCAGGCTACTTGGTCCAAGTTCATTTTCTCACATGTTGACTTTTGGCTCGCGAGCGTGTGCCTAAATATAGCGCTCACCAATAAAATGATCATGCCGGAGGACAGGTTCAAAAGAAGAATGCCTAAGATACTTCGTTAGATACACATGATTTCCTTTTTGGAAGTACTGTCCCCTGGTGGCTTGTTGAATTCGATATGTAGTGTAGTTCGCTGCGGACGGTTGGGCGTGTCAGGCGGGATGAGTTTGGCGCGGTGCCAAACCCGTTCTCCACCAGTTGTTGAAGCGAGCAAATGATATGACTGTATCATATCGTTCGTATTACTCGTTTTCTACCACTTTTTGTCGCATGCGCGCTTCAACAAGAAGGCAGAGAACGGCTTTGACGGTGTGAACACTCATACTGCCTGACACGCCCAACCGTCCGCAGCGAACTAGAGTGTAGCCTATACAATAAATTGCGGAGATCAGTCTATTCAAAGTCAGTGTTTTTATCAACCAAGAAAAACTTGGCACCAGTCAACCGGCCCTGGAGTAATGTAAGGTAGTCTGGGGACATGGCTCCATAACTCAACCGGAGGTGGTAAGTGGCGCCACCCCCACCTTTTCACCCCGTCCACCCATACAAAACAGTCAAATTTCGCTTTCTATATTCGATTCGCGATTTGTGAGCTGCTGCGTTGTCCTACTGCAGCAGAGCTCCATTAGTCTGAACGAAATTACCAATAAAAGCTCGAAAAGTTGAAGTATTCGAGAAAATATTGGGTTGGCCTATAAGTAATGGCGTTTTTTTCTTACACACTTTTTTGTTTGAAAAGCGGAATCGTTTTTAATATGTTCTAAGCTTTTAAATAGGTAATTGTCTGCTCTATAATTTAGTATGAATGCCTTTCTATCCTTTCTCGGTTTCTGGCGATTTTTATTCCATTGAAGTGGAGTGTCGGGTTGACACAAAAAAGATTTTGACAGCAACTTTGCACTTTACTCAGCTCTCAAATCTCAAAACAGAAGAAGCTCAAAACTTGTGGTATGTACGACCAAGGAAAGATGCTTCGTGTGGCAGCTTGACTCGAGCGGACAAGGGATGGGATTGGGGCCTTGTAAATGTGAATTGCATGGGGCACCCTCTCGCGGATCGACTGCTTGCAGAAAGGGTACAGCATCGTTGTGTGAGACACATGGGGGTCGTACTTGGCCGTTGGGGAGGGGGGGGGGGGCTCGTATTCATCGTTGTTGGAGAGGGAAGGAGGGAGGGAGGTCTTGTGTGCCTTTGAGAGAGATTTTTCCGCGTTGGAAAAATTTTTTTCGGTGGTCGACTTTTCGAGGTTTTTCCCCGTACCCTATCCCCCCCCCCTCGCACCCTCGCGAGAGACGAAAAAATTTTGGGGAGAAAGCTGCGAATTCTCGGGAAACTTTTCGGAGAAAACTGGTAGGAAGCTGAGAACATGTAGGAAAGGTGATGCTGGGGAAGGAGGGGGGTCGTACCGAGACCCTCCCTCGAGAAGGGGATCGTACTGACACCATCATCTCACACATCATGATGCTGCACCCTTCCTGCAGAACCTACTCCCATTCGGACGTCTAACATCAACTGAGGGTGATGCTTGATTATGATAAGGAAGCATTTCATGAGCTCTAACAATTCCTCACACTTTGGCATGAAATCCCATGAATAAAGTGGTCCAGTGAGCTCTCAGTTGACCTCAAGCAGGGCATTAGGTTCGAAGCTTGTCTACGAGGAAGAAATTGAAATCTTCGAATCGCATAAACCGTTGTAAGCATTTCTAAGAGACATAGCCTCTTGGCCATATACTTAGCAACTAGGCCTGAGGGGTTTTGGCTTTTTTTATTCGGAGTAAAAAAGGGAGGCTGTCGAAAATGCCCGATTTCGTCGACCTGACCTCCAGTTCACTTAAATATTAGTGTTTCAGCACTTAAATATTAGTAGAAACAGAAAGCTCAAAAAAAAACGAAGAGGACTGCCGCATAGGGCGAGAAATTCTTTGCAAAACATTATAAAAACCACTGCCAAAAATTTTCATCTTTAGCGCGAGATTGGTGGAAAAACGCCTTTATTTATGGCCAACACTATACAAGCTTTGCCCTAATCTTATGGAGTTTGTTTCATCGTGGCTCGCAGCGCTCCCGGGAACAGGGTACAGCGTCGTGATGTGTGAAATGGTAGTGTCAGTACGACCCCTCCCTCTCCGAAAAGCGTGCGAAAGTCGCCCTCCCCTCCCCTAAAACAACGTCTCGAACGACCCCCTCCAAACACCTACCTACCAATTCTCATATTTTCCCATTTTAGCCACGAGTTTCTTCGCGAGCGGGGTAGGGGGGCCAGGTTGGGGAATGGGGGGAAGAGGGGGTGTACATACAGGGGGGCCAAAAAAAGTCACTTTGCTTCATTGACTTTCGAGGCGCTATAAGTTACACTTTATAAATTCTGATCGGACATTTCTACCACCATATTAAAGAGCATATTAAATACTATTATGACACTCCGCCACAGCCTTCTGGAGGAGCGCCATCGAGAGATTCTGGCACGCAATCACGATGTGGTCCCTGAGATCAGCGAGATAGTCGATTTCTCCGCCACCGTAGACCACCCTATTGAACTCCGCCCGAACCGGGTAATTGAGGGG